AGTAAAGCTTTGACAGGGTTTAATGGCACTGGAGGCCATTTTAAAACTGGCTTTGGTTCAGTCTACCGAGGTAACGAGGAGCATCTCAATAATAACTGGACAGACCAGCTCCTCTGGAATACAAAATGCCTGGAGAAGATGGAAGAAGTACGAACCACGTAACTAGGGAAACTCCCAACGCTAAGAGCCGAGCGCAGTCTCTCGGAGGAGTCTCCTGCCTTTTCTATGGTGTTTTAAAGCTTTTCTAACGCTGCATAATGACACGGTATCTTTTACAAACACAACAACAATGAGGTCAGAAGAGAAAGACGAAGAGTAAACCGTCAGTTAAATCGGAAGTGATATGAGAGCATCTGGGTCCTCCCAGAGGCTTTGAAAAACATACAAAGTGCACTTAGTAAAGCTATCTGATCCGACATTTCTAAAATCTTCCAATGTGGATCTAAGAGATACTAATAACATAAACATTATGTAAAAGAGATGAAAGAAGTGGCAAGTGGTTTAAGACAAGAAATGTAACAATATAGAAGTAGAGCTCTTTCTGTTCGGAGGAGAGAGGAGGGGATTATGTGCATGTTTCTGCTGTGTTTTTTAACATTTTTTCATACTTTAAGCTGGAGCAGCATGGCAACACCCAGGAAGAGCAAGCTTGAAAATTTACAGTAGCCTCCACTCTGAACGGGCAGTGACACTGTCCTGCCTGTGTCCACAGACAGACACACGAGGGGTCAAAATTCAACTCCCATCATGTGAAGTCAGCCAGTGAGAACTCAAGACAGCATGGGCAAAAAGAATTAAAAAAAAAAAAACACCCATAGTGAATAATAAAAAGCCTACGAGACTGTCAGGTATAACTGAGAAGATAGTAAATGCCATAGACCATTTTTCTTTGAGTTGGAAGAAATACGCCAGTTCTCCCACAAAAAACTTCACACGTAGAGGTTCATGGCTATTTTTTGTGTCTCATTTTGATTCTCAGCTTGAAATCTTTAAAACAAACACCCAACAACAAAAAAAAGGGGGGTCCTGCCTCCATCTCAGTCTCACACACTGAGCAAATTCTTTGAAGAGGTGAGGGCAGGCCCAGAAATAAATACATTCATCACTGACAATAGACATTTGGTAAAAAAAAAAAAGAAAAAAAAAGAAGGAACACTGTCAATAAGTGTTTGCGCCAACTTTGTTAGAGGCTCGGCCAGCCAGAGGTTTGTGCTGCTATTACCCACAGATAAAAACAGGCAAAAACAAAACGTTTGGAAGAATAAACGGAACAGAAAAAAGGAGGATATTCACAGTTAAGACTACCAGATAAGCCTGTTTACATGCAACGAACAAACCCACGTTACATTCTCCAGATAGGTTTCAAGAACCGCCAGCATCAGAGATGTACCATGTTACACCACCAAAGCATCCCAAACTATTTAACCCTCAACATATTAAGAGACCCAAGCAGAGGAGATCGCTCTCAAGTGCATTTGGGTAAACACGGAGACACGACATTGAGCTAAAGACCCTAACTAACAATGCCTTTTTGATTAATACGTCAAGGATGCACTGCCTGCCCCCTTCTGCGGTCTCATCTGAAGACAGGCCAGAGGGCAGGAGAACTGGGGTGCAGGGTCACCCCCGAAGCCAGCTGGCAGCAGGGAGGGGACACACTGCAGTGCCCCTAAAACCACAACCCCCCCCCCCCTAATTGAATACGTATAGTAGCTCACCCCATATTTAATGCTATGCTTTCATTTTGGCAGCAACTTCTGTGGAAAAAGCATACATATGGGGCGGGGGGGGAAAGAAAACAAAGAAAAAGAAATACAAAATCCCCTCCCCGGCTGGCCGAGCTTCGACTGAGGTCTGTAAAACTGTAAAAGTTTATGTAAACAATGAGATAAATACATATGTTTCTTTTTTTAGAGCCACACATGGTTCCATAATCATTCAAATGTGCTTTGGTTTAAAAAATAGTTTGTGGATTTGGGTATGAGCTTTTTCTTTTCTTCTAGGTTCTTTGTACATGTTTGCAACTACATCTGAACATACTGCGTTACTAACTAGAATGTAGACTTGTTTCAAGCTGCCTCGCCTTGGTCAAGGCTTTTCGTGTTAGTTGAAAAAAGTACCCCCGTTTGTCTTAAATATGAAACTAGTGTTCTGCTTTTTCCCATGATTAAAATACAGAGAAATTGATACAATGCTATATCTTACAAATGTAGCTGACAGTCTGCATTCACAGATGCAGAGCAATCCCTGAAGTATTTGAATAGTAGTAGTACTAGTAGTAATAGCTATAGTAGTAGTATTGTGGTCACAGTTTGGAGTTTTTCTTCTTATTTGTTACGTCGAACAAGCAAGCTTTAAAATGCAGCTGCAAAATCTTTTTTGCAGAGATGGCTAAACATCACATTGTACAGACACCTTATGCTCTACAGACTTTACGCTGCGGCGCACAAAGTGCCGACAAACACAACAACGTTTGAAGGCAACGCACGGTGGACTCCCTCGAAAGCTGGAAGAGGTCACAAGCAACTATGTATCAGGCAATAAATAAGATGTTTTTGGGTGGGGGAGTGTGAAAAATTCACATGTGCCATGCAATAACTAAACGGCAACGGCAAGACACTAAAATCCGACATAACCACGCAACAGCCCCGGGAGTCCAGGATGCAGGTTACCTTAAAACGGTTTGTTTATGTAACTGTAGCTGCATCCCTGTGATAACGAATATTTCACAGACTTTAACATGAGGATGAAAGATGCATGAGAAAAAAAAATTAAAAATCAAGACAGTTAAACCAACGTAATAGAGGAATGCCTATACGAAAAACTTGTAGTGAAGGTTCGTGATCCACAGTGTGACTTAAGAGTAGATACACTGGACAGGTTTCAGCAACCCCACAGACAAAAGATGGGTCATTCCCACCTTTTAGTTTGATGGAGTACAGATTAAAATAATTAAAAAATAATTCAGGGTAATAATGGAATACAATCAGACATAATGATGCTGCAGGAGACCAAATGAATGTCCAGCTGTCCAGTGCATCTCTGCCTCTCCCTTCTTATTACAAGTTTTAATAAGTCTGGCTCGAAAAAAACAAACAAAAGAAAATAAAAATAAAATTAAAACAAGCAATTCGAACTTCACATTAACATTCTGATTATAATTCCTATCTTTTTTTTTTTTCTTTTGTTTTTTTGGTCTGAATTGAACACAGAAAAATGTCATCAAGTCCTGTTTTTAAAGTCAGGGAATATAAAGTGATGTCGACTCCCGATACAGACAAAAAGAAACGAGAAAAACATGTCCGGAGAACATGCGTTTGAACGTTACCAGTTTTGTCAGGTGGTAAAGTTTACATAATACCAGCCCACCAATCAGCACAAGCTTTCCTTGCAAACATCAAGAACCTCCGCCAGTCTCAGAGTCATTGGCCAAAACTCCCTCAAAAGAGTGGATTTCTTTGCCCGGACTTAGAATATAATTAATCATTTGTTTTATACAGCAAAAAAGAAATAAAAAGAGAAATAATTTAGTATGCTATATATCTTAAGTACATCTTTTTAAAAACTTTGGTTATGAACTTGTCTAGCAATGCTTGTTAGTTAGCTCTGTTCTCCTTGACATTCATAAGATCTTTGGAACACTATACATCTAAACTAACCAACTAAACTAGTTGCTCCCAGCAGGACGCTACAGTACACTTTGAAGTGGGCCACAATGACCAGGCCACCCAAAAAAGCTATATCTGACGAATAAAAACAGCTAAAAAATAAAAATAAAAAACAGAAAAAAAATGATCGTGTAAAATCTATCGGCATTAAAAACCTGTGTTGAGAGATGGGCAGGTTAAAGCATTAGGTGGAAAGTTACCATAATCTACACACTTTTTACAATTAATTACATTGGAACTTTCAACTAATCGACAGAGTTCTTAAGAGTAATCAGAGGTAGCGAGGTCACAAGCCTATATAAATAGACTTTTCTTTTTTTTTTTTTCTCAGAGGGGAGGAAAGCTATACAGACAGGAAAATAAACGTACCCACTGAACGTAAAGTTCGGTCAAAAACACCCTCTCCTTAGGCCCATTAAACCACCCCGACCCGCCCCACCCCAAGAAAAACCCCCCAAGACCTTCCAGTTTAAACATTCACTGAAACATGACAAGTTCTTTAAGTAAAACAAGTACCACGCGGGTTTCATCTTTCCAGCCAGGATTCACTCCTGGGAGCACGAGCAGGCAAAGTTGAAAATGAAAAAAATAAAAATAAAAACTTCCCTACATCAAAGCAAACCGCTGTAGAGAGAACTTTAAGTATTTGCTATCTGTTGCAACCAAACGCGTCCTCCCCAACAATAACCTTCTTTCTTTCAGGACTTTTCAATTAAAGCATGGAGATGGTCCCCACTCCAGTTACCCCTCCTCTTTCACACGGATTCCCCACCGCCCGCCGTAATTGAGGATATAAAGCTGTCGGGGTAAAAATGATCTTTTTGCTGAATTATTGCCAGTATTGTTTGCGCGGGTTTTTGGTCTAAAATAGCTCCGGAGTGCGGACTGGACTCTCGAGTTACTCCGTTTACGAAAAAAGGAACAAACGGAGAAACTCAAGGACGCGACGCCTCCGGAGTAAAGTGAGGAAGGCTGCTGAGGGGTTTGAGCTGAGGGGGGCTTGACATTTCAGTACCCACATTCACATTTAAACAAACCACAAGTCACGCCACTCCGCCGTGGCCTCGCGACTTTGGAGAGAGATAGGAGTAAGTTGTCCCTGACTGCGGTCTCGCTCCCCATAGGCGAGTGGACGTCGGCCATCGCCGGTGATGACTCCATCCTTGCATCAAAAACATCTCTAAGAGAGCACCGCGGCTTACGGCTACATCGCTCACTCAAGCAGGGAATCGTAAACTGGAATTCATCTGTCGAACCACGTGAAGGTGTGCATTTCTTTGTTTTTTGTTTTTCTATTCCCAGAGTTCTTTGGCTTGATAGGTTTTTTTTTTTCTAAGAGGGCGAGGTGTGCATTCTCAGGTGACTGATGAGGTTGCGCTGCTGGGTGAACTTCCCGCCGCACAGCTGGCACTCGTAGGGCTTCTCCCCGGAGTGGACGCGCATGTGCTCGGTCAGGCGGTACTGCCGCGTGAAGCGCATGCCGCACTCCTCGCAGGCGAACGGCTTGAGGCCCAGGTGGCTGCGCATGTGGCGGGTCATGGTGCCCCGCTGGGTGAACATCTTGCCGCAGATGTTGCAGGGGAAGGGCCTGGTCAGCCAGTGGCTCTTCTCGTGCTGCCGCAGCGTGGCGGGGTCCTTGTAGCTCTTGCTGCACACCGTGCACTTGAAGGGCCGCGTCTCCGAGCCGAAGCCGGAGGGACCCACGGGGGCCGAGAGGTCCTCCGCCTCCTCCTCGTCCTCCTCCTTCACGAAGGTGCCGCCCTCCTCTTTGATGTAGAGCTCGTCCTCGGTGTGCGTCTCCACGTGGGCGTTGAGCTGCTCGGAGCTGGGGAAGCCCTTCCCGCAGGGGATGCACACGTAGAGGTTGTCCCCGAAGGCCGGCTCGAAACCCTCCTGCCGGTAGACATAGTTGGCGCTGTGGTGCCCTCCTCCTCCTCCTCCTCCTCCTGTCCCCCCTCCACCTCCTGCACTCTCTCCGTCGCTCTGACCGCTCTCCTCGCTGTGATCCTGCCCGTTCTCCCCCCCTTCCTCCTCATCCTTACACTGGAACGAGTGGTCGGACGTAAAGCTGCTACCACTGCCTCCACCCATCCCAGAAGAACGGCCATCTTTAGGGCCCACTATGACCCCGTTGACCAGGGGCCTGTCGTGGTCCTCCGACTTCAGCCCCGACGCCTCCTTTTTGGGCCACTCGTTCTTGCGGGCGCCTTGTCGGGCCTTCTTCTGGGGCGGAGGCCCGTCGGGCTGGTTTTGGGATTCTTCCGAGGCTTTGGAGGAGGAGTTGAGCTCCATGGTCTCTGAGATGCAGGCGTCGACACCCGGCAAAGTGGTTGAGGAGTCATCCAGTGAGGCACTGTTGGTTGTGGATACTGAGGCAGATTGAGGGGACTCTTGGGAGTTGCTGTGCGGGCTGAGGGCTTCGGTGGCCGTGCCCGCCGAGTGGGGGCTCTTCTTGGACAAGTCCAGGCCCAGGTCTGGCTCCCCGGCGCTGGCCCCGCTGCTGAGGTTCCCGTTGACGTTGCCGTTCCCCCCGTTCCCGTTTTTCCCGGAGCTGCCCACAAACATCTCGTCGTCCGAGAGTTTGTCCCGAAGGCCGTCGTCCGGCTGGGGCTGGTCGGCATCCGAGGGGGTTGGGGGGTAGTGGTTGTTGGCGCCGGCGGGGGTAGAGGAGGACAGACGCTGGTTGTTGAGGCGTAAGCGGCTGAGGGGACCGGGAGTGGAGGGCTTTCCTGGCAGGGGCTTCCCGCCGCCGCCGCGCTTGAGCTTCTTTCTGCACAGGGCGGCGAGGTCGTGGAGCTGGAGGTAGCTGGCGGCCGTCAGGAGGGCACCGAAGTTCTGCTCGCTGCTCTGCTCCGACGAGGACAGGAGCTTCCCGGTGTAGATGAAGTCAAGTACTTGTCGGAATACCGAGGGGTTGACCATCTCCGTGTCAAGGTTGATGAGGTTGTCGTGGAGGACCAGCGATTTGAAGTAGATACTGCTCGCCGCCAGGATGTTCTTGTGGGCACGGAAGAGGGCATTCTCCACCACGATGATGACGTCACACAGGAAGCCCTTGGCTCTCTGCTGGTTGAGTTGCAGCAGCAGTTGTTTGGCATGATTTGGCAGTTCCATTTCCTCCTTCCTTCTGTCCTTCTCTCTCTTCCTACACGAGCACCACCTAAAGCTGATGAGAGACAAAAGGAGGAAAAGCTGGTTAGTTGGGAATTTTACCGGGAAATAAGAGCGTTAACAGCAGCCAACTGTGTTTTTCTCAAAGTGAAGATTTAAGAGACTATAAAAGAGTGGCGGGAATGCCATCGACACACAAATCTGCAATGTGAAAAGAGAAAAAAAAGGCAAAAAAAAAGTGTCCGAGCAATGGGGGAGGGGTGTTCAAATTGAGCTGTTTTTCGTGCCAGACTAGTTTATTTTAAAGATCGGCGTGTTTCACATAGCACTCCAGCCGCGCTTCCTATGTCCTCCACAGCACAAACATCAATTCTAGCTCTCACATGGAAACTAGGGAACTGTCGGCACACCGTGCCACATAATCACATGGCAGTATAGAAACCGGAACCCTGCTCTCCCTCTCATCTTCCTTTTCAAACAAATTGCAACCTTACTTGGATCAAGTTCTGATTGTATGCAACACCACTGTTCTGGCACAAAAGCCTACAGGGGTGGAGGGAGGAAAGGGTAAAGTAACTAGTTTTCTTCCCCCCTTCTTCCTCTCAGCTTCTCTTCCACATCTCGGCAGAGTAACTCTAGTTTCCGTGGGGTGCCCTTTTTGGAAACGCCGCTCCCTCCCGTCTCCATTAGGTCATGGTAATGTCAGCCCTGCCCCATTGTCTGGGGGGTGGGGGTCGGTGGCACAGCAGGGCCAGGGGGAAAGATTAGATGACACCTGAGCAGGTTAAACTACACAGAAGCATGGGCAGAAGAGCCAAGGGAGGGTGTGGCCCAAAGACAAGGGACGGCACCACTCGATCCTCCGGAGAGGCCCTCGTTTGTGGAATTAGGACGTTCGCTGATGACCCGCGACACACCACTGGGCTCCTGTTCGAGCCTTCGGGCAAAACCAAACTTTGTAACAGAATTTCATTGCACTACGCGCCAAGACTGCCAACATCGTGTTGGTTTTTAAAGCAAAGGGCTCGTATTTGGTATCAGAGACGCCAGAAAATTTAAAAATAAATAAATAAAAACTTAGCTGCCCCTCACCACAGTAGGGCGTACTGTATTATTCAGCAAAACCTTCACTCAAGCCATCGATACGAGGGAAAATGTACTGACCCTGAGATTTACTGAAAAGCAAGTTTTATATACACACCCAGAGGGAGTCGGTCTTACACCACGTTGAATATATGAGCAGCAAGCCAGAAAGCAAATGTCTAACCAGTGCTCTTTAAACCAGTCTTTACACCAATCCAAACAAACCTATGATATATCTTTGCCCCACTTTACGATACAGGAAGAAGGTCAAGAAGCAGCCCTAACAGATCGATACATTTTTTTTATTGAGATTGGGACTAAAACTGAATGGGTTTTTTTCTATTTTTGAAAATAAAAGCAAAGGTTTGAGGCTGGATTTGCCATAGCATAAACGTGCTCGATGATATTTTTAAAAGGGCAACTGTGTCTTAATGGGTTAACTGGTCCATTTGGTTTGAATAAATCAGGTGTTAACACATAGGGTGCAGGGTCATTTTCATAGGCCTGACAACCTTAAAATACTTTAAAAAATAGGTTAATTCGCAGGAAAAAAAGGAATAGTCTCAAAGGCAGACTTGGTAAAATGTTGCCTCGGTGAACAACGGTCTCTTAATAAATGGTGAACAGTGGGTTCAGGAGGGTATCCGGGCTTTATTTGTATTAGAGGCCACGCAATTTTGACTTATATATACCAACCATGACCTGTGATGTCACCTCACCCATCTCAGTGGTGGTGCAAATGCATTAAAAAAAATGAAGAATAAAAAAGCCCATCAAGTTATGCAGTTCTCATGGGAGCTCCCCAGTTTGCAGATGCCCTCTGGGAGTCCCCAGATCCGTTTGCTCTGAAAGCTCCATTATAATGAACCTGTATAATTCATCAGGGTACCCACAATAAGGACGTTCTGCCCCCTTCCAGCCTGGAGCATATATTACAAGGTCTACCTCCACACCGCACCGACCAGGTGAGGCTTCAAAAGTAGAATGAGTAGGCTGGTGGAGGACGAACATCCTGACGGAACAACGAGGTTGAAATTGCAAACCAAGATGGCCGCGTCTGTCACAGTCAGAGTGGCTGATACAATCAGCTGAAGTGATCATTACTCTGAGGTCCACGCCTGGGCTTGCCCCCTGTGCCTTGACACTTCTGTTCGTGGTCTTCTTACCCTCCCCCACCTCTCTCCTCTCCTCTCGGCACATCCCTTTTAGCTTTTATCTTCCCACCCTCGCCAGCCTCTCGCCGGGCACGCGGAGAGCAGTGTTTTCTGTCCTCGCTGTTGATCTTAAAAGAGCCGTTCAGGAATGCTCGACCGAGACCTGTTAATCAGCGAACGTGCTAAAGGGGGTCTTCCACTCTCGGCCCTGCAGGCAGTAACGGAGAAGAGGGCTGCTGGAGAAGGAAGGGCCTCTGCTACGATGCCAGCCAGGAAGCCGTATATCACTCAAGTCTCTCTTTTAACGTACACACCTCAGCATGCTTTATGGGGGGGGGTTCAAGAGGGTTTTTTTCTCCAGAAGACTGACATAAAAAGGGGGCTGGGCTCAGAGAAGAGAGGGCAGTTCGGGAGGACAGAGAGAGAGAGGGAAATAGATAGAGAAAAAGAGGAAGAAAAAAAAAACGCCCTCCCCCATCCCCCTCCTCTTCTCATCCTTGGCTCTCCCTCTAACCATACCCCCTTCACCCACGCAGCTACTCTCTCCCCCCCCCCCCCCCCGGCCCCTCCAGCGCCGCGGCGTGCCGGTTGGATTCCAGGGGGCTACTAATGGATTACGGCTGATCTATATGCAGCCGGGGCGGGACACGTGTAGTCCCCGGTCCCCTACTAATGATGCTGCCCGGGAAAAGAGGCACATTACAGGCGGGGGGGGGGGGGATAAACCTGCATCATCATCACCATCGCGCTTCCGTGATTTGAGGCTGCCTGGTGTGCACTTCACACAAGCATTCCAGCTATGACAAGTGGGAGGCTACTCCGGTTTTCCAGCGCTTCTGATTTGGATGGATGAGAAACAGGAAGAAGATCCCGACAGAAAAGCCCCAAAAATATATGTTTCGACTCATAAAAGTTGACTAGTTGAAATTTCAAGCAGCAGTTTTCAAGCTTTTTTGACGATTGGCATGACAGTTGACATGGGAGTTGATAAAAAAAGAAGGAAAAAAAAGAAAGGACAAGATATACTCCGAGTAGGGCACAAGATACCGTTCAAAATTCAGCCCTTGGCATGGACTGTGACAGACTCGGGGGGTGGGGGGGGGGGGGGGAAATGTTTCGGTTCGAGCCAGGCACGGGATCGGCTTACCTCACATGCGGCGTTAACCTTTTCAAAAAGTAGTGTTTAATCATAGAAGGGTCAACCTCAGTTCACCTCAAAGGTTCAACCTTGACCCCTCTCTGGTGGGGGGGGGGGCTTGCTGATGAAAAAGATGAGCCGGCATGCATATCTACAACAAAACTGACAGACGCGACCATAACAAGTCTGCGCGTTGATTTACGCCCGTAAAAGTTGTGGGCGTCTAAATGCCCCGAGCGGAGAAATAATTTAAGCTTTCTCTGAATTAAACTGGTTACGCCAGAGATCCTGCAGATCAGGTTCGGCCTCGTTTACCGGCGCCGGTGGTTGCATCTCTTCTGCCAGGAGTTTGTGGATTACACTTCTAGTAAATAGACGGTACCGAGGCCGCGTTTGGCGAAGGTGAGCGAGCGAGGAGCAGCGGGCTGTGGCACTAATCTCCCGAACTGAGGGTAGAGAGCCGAGAGAGAGGGGGGGGCAAAGGTGAGGCAAAGTCCTGTGGCGCAATAACAAAACACACCCTACTTCTGCGAAAGGTCACCGCAGGCAACCGATAGAGAACAGGTCTGAGTAGAATTTTAAAAACATGTTCGACCTCGGCTGTAAATCTTCTTTTTTTTTTTTCCTCCCCCCCCCCTTCACCTTTCAGTACAATTCCTCAAAACAAAAACAACAAAAAAAACAGTATTGACTTTGCGGAACTGTCACTGACCCCTCACAATCTGCACAAAAGGATTAATGATAGGAGCAAAAAGAAGCAAAAATGCACGGAAGCTAAAGGCCCCGAAAGACAGTGTACTTAAAAAACATGCACGCCCCACACACACACACACACACACATGCATGAAAACACACAGAAAGAGGAGTGTGCTGGTGGGCAGAGGGAGTGGGGGAGGGGTCGAGGGGGATGGTGCAAAGCCAGTTTGAAATACAAACACCAAGCAACCACCTCTGAGCCATTTCAACATGGCTGACCTTGCTGCCTGGATATGGCTGATCCAGGCAGGCCTCATGGGCGCTGCAATTATCCGACTTTCGCTTCTCTCATAAGTGAAAGGACAGCACATGACACAATGATGAGATTAAAGCAAACAGCCGGGCTTTCAGCCGGCCATTCTGTAGGTTTCTTTACGCTTCTGTAATCCGACCCCAAAAGTTAGGAGGAAAAAAAAAAAAAAAAAAAAAGCACAGATAAATTATGACCAATGATGTGTCGTTCTTATAGTTGGCAGCGTAATTTAAGATGCGATTACGCACCCACTTCTGTCAAAATATACCCCAAAAAAGTTGCTACGGAAAGGCTTTTGCCATTTTGTGATGCTTCAAACTTCCCACTTTTAACACCTCGTCTTAGCTCATCTTATTCCTCTCTAAACAATTAAAAATGAATAACAGCACAAGGTTGTGGCTGTATTTTCTTTTTTTGCCCCCATTTAATAATTCTCCATGGATTGAGGATAAAGTTATATATATATATAAAAAATAGGGTAGCGGGTCAAAGTCAGCAGACATCTGACGGTCAGAAGTTGACCTGACAGCCATCTGTGTGTTTGGTCAGAGGCTGGCTTTCCTGGACACACACCTTTCTGCCTGTGCTGCCACTCCACGGCTTCCTTGGAGTTCATTCACACTCCCCACACATGACACAGGTTCTCTCCTTAAAAAAATAAATGACTGAACAAACTTTACGTTGGACTTTGGGCCTTCCTTAATAGCCAACCCTGTTTGGAATCAAACAAACAATTCATTTGTAAGTTGGATGCACAAAGAGAGGTTTGATTTGATCCCACACTTTTTTAAATAACCAACACTTGGTAACTACATCCAGGTAGAGCAAACTGACAGCCCAGCTCTTCAGTGAGATTAGCATGGGAAGCTAGAGATGCATTAATTCAATCGGCTGGACAATGGTCTGTGTCAAATGACTGAAAGGATTCAATGCATCCGATGTTGTTAAATATCTGGACACCGACCCCATCCTGGACAGTTTTCTTTTCAGTAAAAGCTGCAGGCATCCACTCGGCCGTTGACAAAAACCCATGAAACATTGATGCAGGAAGCCATCGGTTCTGTCTTCTAAACAACCGGTGTAACAATCTGCCCCATCCGAGATGCTTCTGGACAGGTGAGTGATCAAGGTGCTGCGCTGCCGAAGGAGGACCACAGACATTAAGACTCATTTCCTGTCAGCTGATTCAGCCATTTTGCCCGTGGTGCGGTGGAATGAAAAGCGTCCCGTTCACCTCATCAAAGGATGGTGTGCAGAGACAGCTTTGCTCTCAAATGTATCAGCATTTTGATGCATGGGATGCTAAGGCCCATCTTCCACTTGATTCTAAATTGTTTTGTTTAAAAATGGAAAAATAAATCACCCTTTTTCTGCATTCATTGCTTGCAGCAGTGGTGAAAATGGCTGTTTGTTGGTGTTGGTTCCAGTCTTCTGTAAACAGGAGCGTTGTGGACAACACTGGGTCGTCAATCATTAACATGATCAGAGGAGACTCAGAGGTGAATTTCTGCCATTCATCTTGTTCCATGATGGGCAAACGGATGTATAAACCTACAACAACAGTATCAACAGACCAGTGTCCAGATATGTTCCTCTATTTACACAATGCCATCGGTTTGGTAGTAAGATTCTCCAAAAATATGATATTTCTCTTTTGATATGATGGTTTATCATGAAAACACTAAAAACTTCATTAAAAATTGCCTTTGTTTCCCCTTTTCTTTCTTAAATTTCCTTGTCAGGAACAGAATTGTTTAAATTCTTATAGTAAATCATCAGGCTGCGTATCACACTCCTTTCAAATGTCCCCTTGGATAACATCCAGTACTACCAGGCATAAAAATGCGTGCGTTAATGTGGACCTAATCGCATTTCCGCTGTTACAAAAAGTATAAAAAGTATAACTTTTGTCCACGCATGAATGTGCATCTCTGCTCCAAGCGATCCACGCTATATAGCATTTTGCATTTCACCCAAAGTGAACGCACAGGCATATGAGATAAAGGCTGGATTGAGCGGCGGGAGGCCAGCGGCTGGACGCTGGAGCACATGCCCTCCCCGCAGACTGTGTCCCACTGTGTGCCCTCACTGGAAGTGAAGTAATCAACCACTTCACAAACAACTGAACATATGATTGGTGTGATAAAGGGACCTCTGTCCGGACAGTATAAACTTGATGAGATAACACCCTCCCCCCTCCACCCCTCCCCTCTCCAGCCTGTAAAGAGCAGCATACCCACATGACCTGGTGCCTAATGGTTTGGTTGAGGACAGTGGGTCGGGTGAGGAGACAGCCTGTGTGATCCACGGTTTCTGAACTACCCCCCCTCTCCCCCCCCAGCCTTTAAACACTGCGTAACCTTCTGGCTATCAGCGCTACATTCCACATTCTTCTTCTTAAAGAACAACAACAACCCTGCCCCGAGGTGCTTCGTCCAAGGAAGAAAAAAAAAAAACCTCAAAGTGCCCCTGAAAACAGGGAGCGGGCCTCGTCCCGTCTGTAAGTCCCCCGTCCCACATGTCAGCAGAACCTACACCCTAAGTAGCCCTCTTACTGCCGAGGGGCCGCCCGCACACGCCGCGGTAAGCCACCATCGCCCCGCGCGCAGGATGCTGACCGCGGGGCGGAAAAAGAGGAAGAGAACCGGAAAGGGGGTGAGGCCCACCAGCTGACCGGCGAGGATCACGAGGCGTGGAACGCAACTCCGGCCTCCAGTTACCCTCCGGGCCTCCAATTTGTCGTCCGTGTCGTAATCAATGAGCCCCCCCCCCCCCCCCACCCGTCTCACCGATCAGTTGACTTGGTCATTTTAATGGCCGGGAATTAATCCGCTTGACCCTTCGAACGAGGTCATCTGCTTATGACAAACAAGTCCGACGGGCCCTGGGAGGCCTGATCGTAAAAGAATCCGCCTGATGGCTGAAAGTGTTCATTAAGCACGCGGCTCCATTGGTCCAGCAACCTACCAGCTTCTGACCGCCCGCCACAGCGTTTAAAAAAAAGAGAAAAAAAACACCTCAGCGTGGATCAATTACATCGGCTGCATACCGGATTAAGTTTTCAAGATGCAATTTAGAAAAGTAATTTTATCACATGCCCCAAACCCGGGCGTCTGCTCCAGATGCAGCTCTGATATCATCAGACGCTTCAGGCCGCCCGCCCGGACTCCCATTCCTGCCTCTAATTGGATTAAAACTGTTTCTGAAACGCAACTTGTACGGGCTTGAAAACTGGGTGTCTTTTTGTTTTGGTTTTTTTCCCTCGCGGACCGACACAATCGTGGGGGGGACACGTTTTTAAGGCCTGCCAGTTTTCAGAGCGTCTGAACGCCTCCACTGACTGGGTGTGACCAGCCAAAAAACAACATCTAATCTTTCCCATTATAGGCTCCAGCAGCCAGCCACATGCACAGGATAAGAAGGGGTGGAAATGGATGGATGTGTCTTTCTATTGCCTTAATGAATAACTCTCCTTTGTTGAGAATAGTTTGAAAGGGGGAAAAAAAAGTTTGGGTTTGTCCCTATGAAGGTTCAGAAAAACAAACAAGTATATGCAAACTGTGTGTCATCATGCTTTACCAAAGGAAACCAGGAGCCAAACCCAAACTACTTCCACTCATTTCAAATCCTTATAACATTTCCCCCATAGTACACTTTAACATACATGCTAACCAAAGCCCGTTGATTTCGGTCAATGTGTCACTTCTCATGACCGAAACTTGGCAGCTTCAAAAGGCAGAACCACGTCGAGAAATGGTTTAGACGGCAAAATATTGGTGACACAAAACCGAGGGGAAAAACGCATTACTCACATTCCTGGGCCTTATTATTGCCATGACTCCCCTTTGGTACTGAGGGAGCACCGATCACCTTGGGAGCCCCGGGCTGCCTTCACACACCTGAGCACAGGGCTTTGTTTTTTTTTTACTGGGCCTGCTCCAAAATGAAGAGGTTAACGCTCAAATGCGCAACACACGCTGTTGGGGAGGATTCGGTTTTGATCGAGGCAATCGCGTGGGACAAAGTCCATGTCACGCAGCATCGTTTGCGCAAAAAAAAAAAAAAACGCTGCAGTTTTGGACCCCCCTAGTGCAACGTTACACCCCACAGCCTGGTCCAACACCTCACGGAACCGGTGGTACCGTCCATGTGGGTTTTTTTCAGGGTTTGGAAAAGCAGCAGAGAGCCGCGTCGTCACTTTGTTGGACATCTGCAACTCAATCCTGTTAAATCATTTAGATTTGGCCCCCCTACCTCAGGACCGGGGTGGCTTAACCTACATATAAACAATGCGGGCTACGGCACAGGTAGCGACGGCTGCTGTTGACGCATCTGCGATTGCCACACATTTGCGCAAAAATGTGCGTAAAATCCGCTTCGTTCAACGTCTATTCGGTTTAAAGAGCCCCAATGTGGTTTCATGTAAGAAGCCAGTGTGGAATGAGAGGGTCGTTTCACTTTTTATCTAGGCGACAATACATTGAATAAAGGACATTTGGCCAAAAAAAGAGACGCAAAAGCGAAAAAAAAACGAGATTTCATTTCTGGACTTCCGTGCTCGGACCCTCTCTGTGTCTGATGTGCTTTGCCAGCCTGGTCATTATCTGCCACACAGCCGTCCTGTGGGGGCATCCCTTGCAAGCTATACGCAAATAAACGCCACAATATATGCAAACCCCATTTTCTGCGTTTTACCGCAAAACCGGCAGCGAGCCCCGCAGAGCTTGCCAAGAAGGCTGGTGGAGCCAGGGCAGGCACCAGGAGAGCCCGTTTTCGTTGGCACGCCGTAGAAAAAAAAGAGAAATACACCACCGTAACGCCGAAAAAGCCTTACGATTCCTGCAGCAGCTGGGAGAAACCGATCCCATCGAAACAGGCACGAAAGCGACTCGCTTTTCCATTTCCAAGCCAAACCAAAGGAGAGATCGTGTGTTTAAATACCTTATTACATCGGTAGGATCGTTCTCAAGCGTTCTTTACCATCCTCTTGCTCATCTCACAGCCTTCGGGACGCCATGTTGCAAGCTTATGACGTTGGGCTTCCTCACCCCTGACCCACATTTGAATGGAAACCAGCCCAGAGCGCAGCGGAAAAAAAACACACTGTGGGAGGGTTCGGTCACTTTCTTAAGGCAGGACCCCTGGTAACTTTACCTGCAACATGGCAGAGGGAGGAAAAAGACAAGAGGAGGGCTATTTGTTGCTTTTCAGTGTGTTGTATGTCTTTTTTTTTTTTTTTTACCCCCCTCTTCCAGCAGCACGACTGAGCCACGAAAAAAAAAGTGTGCAGCTGAATGCAGCTCTGCAAAGAAAAAGAAAAAAGAAGAAAGTTTGAAACGACGTTTTCTCTTTGGGCGTATGTGCGAGTTCCTCCCTTTTCTAAATACAAAGAGCAGCATGAGAAATGAAGGGATGTGCCCGAAACCGAAAGGGTTTCATCTTAAAACTCAAATCAAACGAGTCACACGGACTGTGTATTCCCTTTAAAATCTAAAAAGGTTTGAATGTTTAAGTATTGCTTAGCCTTTTTAAACGTATTATTTTGTCATAGCAGATAGATTTTTCTAAAAAAACATATATCGTTTGACTTTAAGTAATCAAATCTAGATTTTTACATTTAAATAGTTACTTTTGCGCACATTTTATGGCATATGGGCTTGGCACAAGCCTTGGGAGAATGTAGCCTGTCTGTATATTTCCTTGTTGTGCTTGGATCACGTGATACCAAGTATCATTTGTACGTATGTTTTTAGGTGAGCACAATTGGGATTTTTTTTAGCATGATGTCCACTGAGATACTGAAATCGTGAGGAATAAATGGAAAGAGAACGAGTCTGTAAAGGTTCAAAAAGTGGGCACCAGATGTGCGGAAGTGTGGCCATTTGAAACTCCACCCCCCAAACCCCCCCAGCCAATAAAGAAACTGGATCAAACATCTCTGGTGGGTTTCACCCTCATACATTTATTATACCTCCATTAACGTATTTCATCCTAATGAAGCTACCTGCACTTGGTCATTCATCTTCCTGCCATGGGGCTGTGTGGGGATTCAGACACATTACATAAAGGTAAAGTCCCACATGTGTGGGGCTTTAGGCCCAGGGTTTTTTTTTTTTGGTTTTTTTTGTGGAGTTGGCGGTGATGGCGTCGTGCCAAAGGGTTCTTCTGACGCTGTGTGGTTTCCGGGGAAACTGCATCCTCTGCGGCTGCTCACGTCCAGATTCAGAAATGTTTGCAGAGCTGTGGCATAAGTTAGGCGAGCATCAACCAAATAATGTCTGAACAGATAATAAAAAGCGTGGTTAGTTAAACCGGAAACATAAATGACAGAAACATGGAACTGTTAAGATTCCAATAGTTCACACACAAAAAAGTCGTATTAAGCACAAAAAGCAGTAGGAAAATACCAAGTGAAACAAGATAACATTTATATATATAAATATATATGTATATATATAAAACCATATAAAACCAAAAACAAGAGTAGAAGTGGCAGCTGGCTTCATCCATCCACGTCCAACTGGTTAACTCTGAAAGTTTTTCTTCAAAGGTGCAAGTTGTCTCCGGAACCTTTATATGAGAGGGAAATAAAAAAAACAAGGTTGTGAGAAAAAGATTAAGAACACTTGCAGTTGTTCAAAACGAGGGGTTTCAGATTGATGTGATAAAACCATGATGTGGTACAACTGAAAATGTATTTTTCGCTGGATCATCACATCTGCCAGAGCTGGCCGATCCTCTCACCTCCTCCTGCAGCAGGGCCTCCACACCTTGGAGAAGAGCGTGTCTCTGAGCGCGCCGCAGCCTCTGATGTAGATGATGGGGGTGATGACGGCGTTGACCCGGGGCAGGATGCGGAGGGGGTCGGTGCCCTCGTTCTTGGGGCTGTTGCAGACGGTGCCGGTGAAATTGCACACGATCATGTGGCAGAACAGGGGGATCCAGGCCCCCAAGAAAAACACCACCACCACCAGGATGAGGTAGACGGAGGAGCGCTTGCTGTCCCTCTCCTCCGAGGGCGGCTCCCGGCCCAGCTGGAACATGGCGACGATGAACAGCCTGATGTTCAGCCCTATCATTATGACCACGGTCACTATGTTGGCCACCATCGTCCCGATGCTCGTGATTCGACCGGCCATCCCGGCGGTGACCAGGTTACTCACGGCCACGATGAAGAAGGCGTAGGCCCAGTACGCGCAGATGACCAGCACGGTCCTGTTTCGGGTCATGCGCCGGGAGTAGGTGAAGGGCGACACTATGGCGTTGTACCTGTCCGCCTGCGCGGCCAGGACGGCCATGAAAGACAGGCCCAGGAAGGTGGGCACCACGTGGAAGGTCCTGGTCGGGGAGTCGAAACTGTCCCTGACGTCCAGGACCCCGACATAGTAGTAGGACACGCCCGTGCAGGTGTCGCTGAGGCAGGTGCTCAGCATGTACATGAAGCGGTTCTCGCTGCGCAGCGCGCCGTCCAGCAGGATGGAGGCGAACACGGACACGTTCAGGACCACGATGGAGGCGGCCAGGAAAATGCTGAAGAGGAAGAGCAAGACGTTGCCGAAGCTGGTGAGGGGAAGCACGGGAGCCCAGACTCCGAAACTAAAGTTTCTCATCGGTGCGGCGGGAGTGCAGGGCGCAGAGGGGGGCTCGGGTTCACATGTAGTCTGCAGAGACTGGCACCGCAGAACGGTGTCCGTGCAAGAGCAGAGGGGGGGGCAGCCTCAGGTGTGACTTATGTAGGGAGCACATTCTCAGGGAGCACGCTCACCTGAGTGACTTTAATTCCCATGGACGAGTCTACAACAACAACAACAACTTATTGACATGGGTTAATTAACATGGGCCAGGCAGTTTTTTTTCTTTGTATTTCTAAGTATGGTCAGGATAACTGCACAACCGGATTTAAATCACAACATCTAAATATATCTACACACGTTTCATAACAGATTTGTACAAAGTACATCCAAAGCTGTTTAACAACAAAACAGTCATATATTTCGTGTTGTGGAGGCAGTGTGTGTCTCCTCAGTTCATTGTGATGTGCAGAAATAAGTCGATGCACCGCATTTGACTTAAAATCATTCCATTACTTTGATACTCCTCTAATTTTAAGCCATTTTGTCGTAGATTTCCTCTGTGCCTTGTGGTCATTATCGTGGAAATTGAATTTTAGACAAGCTGACATGTGGCCTGACCTCTGCCTCTACAGCACTCTGCTGCACAAAGGCCTTAATTGTCCACTGCGAGCTGTAAAATGAGTCCGTAACCTCAACGCTGCACCTCTGTGCCAGACATCAGATGAGAAGTGTTTTTGCTGGGATTTTTCTTCCCAAATGGGAGTATTTGCAAACCCTATCACAGCTTACATGTTTTGCCTCTTTTTAAAAAATCACCATATTGAACTGAGGCCTCTACAGTGTGAAAGCTCTTCAGTTTTTTACAGTTTCACCAAACTTACAACAGGGATTAACTGGCCGAGACATCTTCTGAGATGCTTGGTAACTCCTTTGAAAGCTCTCCTATTGTAGTTAATCAAGATACTTTATATTAAATGGCTCTCTACTGATAGGAAATTGGCCTACAACTCTCCACTGATTGATGGGTAGTTCCAGCAGATTCTCTAAGATAACTGCTGATGCATTTTGATGTTTGCATCAAATGCTCTGCAACCAGCACACTGACTAAGTTTCTACTCTTTTTTTATAAAGGTGGTGAAACCTACTGATGAGCACTTAATCACACACAGTACAAAGCTACTGTTTCCCATCTAAAGATGAGAGGATGCTTTTTGGATTTCCATGTACTGCTTCTACATCTGGGCTTGAGTGTAAATGCTCAGGATCAATAAAGAGAAGAGCACAGACCCAGAGGAGTGGTTGGAGGAGGCCGTATCAAGCTGCGGGGCTTCTGCCTCGCTGCCTCTGGAACTGAAACTATTATATAATGGAATAATCTATGTGCGTTATTTGGTTGATAAAATACAAAATGAGCCATTGCCGTCTTTTGAAGTGTTACCAGAGGAACATTGCAGTGACAGAGGTGAGAGAATACCATGGCAGGTAGCAGCAGATACAGGTGGAGGCAGCATGAGTCAAATACAGGCACAATTGACTTCTGGTACTGTGTAAGAAACATGATGCAACGCAGGCAGAGAAGGAGGAATGGTCGTCAAATAAAGCGTCAAGTTTCTTTCAATCCTTGCTGAGAGATAGGTGAACAGAACATTTGAGGATGCTGACATGTGACATCAAGCTGCCGACTGTATGGTTAAAGTCAAGAACAAGGCGGAAAGTTGACAAGGAGTCATTTTAAAACCCCTCTCTACTGCACTTCCCAAAGTTTGCTTCAGGGCAAAAACATTTCTGGTGCCTGTTTCAATGAGATGAGTCTCACTTCTGCATGTTTAGCTTTCTGTACCTGTTTGGTGATTGTATGAATGTTTCCTAATATAAACATTATAAAGGGGATTTATTGGCAGTGTTTTGGTGACATATTATTCTTCTGTGGAGCAGTTATTTCTTTGTTAAAACTCCTCATGATTCAAGTAAAACAGAAATGTAAATGCGACACACACGTTACAGAACTGGCAACGAACACAAGGCCTCAGTCAGGCAGAGACCAGAGACAAGCAGATGAAAGGAGGCCTGTGGCTCCCTCTAGTGCTAAATATAGATTTTAAACGATCCAAACTATGATAAGAACTATGTGTATGTATATGTACATATCTATATATATGTAGCTCCTGTCTGACAACATAAATCAAGGATCACTTTGGATGGATTTATGTGATAATTTCAGACTTATTGAATCTTAATGTACTATTTCATTCAAGGATTAATGTCTTTAAATTAGGAATTCTTGTCTCCTGACAGCCACCTGTAACACAGGACTGTCCTCCCGATAAACAGGGGCATTTATACATTTACACACCGCATAGATTTAGTAAAATGCCTTCTTCACACAGTGTTTTTGTACTTTTACAACTACTTACCAGGTTAAGTGAATCACTGGCACAGATTTGCCATGATCTTTCATGCTAATCGGACCTAATATCAGTTTGTGGATGGTAATCAGAGGCTTCATTGGCAAAATAGTGATTCAAAACTAAAATGAATGTTTCCCTTTGTGAGATTAAGTTAGATAGTCTCATAGTCAGGCCCCTGAGAATAAGTAGGGGTTGTTGAAGCAGTTTTCTTCTTTCCTGTTTTAAGTTTGAACAGGATTTGTTGGTGCCCAGGTCACCGACCCCTGGGGGGGGGGGGAGTGTTCGGGTATAAATCAGACCCACGCGCACGGTGCTCTGCGGGAGCCTCAGGATGCTCCTCAATGCCACCGTCCCTCTGTCGGTGGATTTCGACACCCCGGAAGACTTCCTCATCTTCATCTTCCACATCCTCTTCGCCACCAGCGCCGTGCTGGTGGCCGGCTCGGTGGTCATCGGCATACTGTCCAGCCGGTCCCTGAGAGGCCAGAACCGTTTCGTGTTCATGCTGAACACCAGCGTCAGCGACACGCTGACCGGCCTCTCGGTCTACTACCTCGGCCTCTTCGACGTCCAGGAGGGCTACCCGTCTCGGAACGGGACCTTCTACATCCTGCCGTTGTCACGCGGGGGTTCTTGAGGGAGGACTCAGTCGCGGAATGAAGGGGAAACAAGGTTTATTGTACAAACAGGGTGAAAGTCCAGACAAAGTACAAAACAAAGCTGTGGAAAACTGTGGGCAAAGTAGCAAAGCAATGAGCAAACAATACTGTGGCAAAAACTATGACTTGACAAAGTAACAAAATAAAGATAAACAAGACTATGACAAAACGTGACTATGACTGTGGCAGAACTATAACGAAACAAACCTGGCGTGGGGGTGACGACGGACGAAAGGACAAGAGACAAGACAAGAAGACTAGAACGACCCCGCACCAGACAAGGGGAAACGAGGACTATTTAAACACATGAGGGAGGGAAACCCCAGGTGTACACAATAGGTAATCAAGACAAGACATTCCCCCAGACGTGACAGCCGTCGTTCCTCGGCGTCAACATCTTGACTTTCCTCTTCGCCCAGTTCGACCGCTACTTCGCCGTGTGCCACCCTTTCTTCTACAGCCGCTACGTGACCAGGTCCGTGGTGGTCGCCATCTGCGCCTTCTGCTGGATCTACACCTACTCCATCCTCACCGTGCAGAACATGGTGCCCATCTCCAAGGCGGCCCAGATCAACGCCTTCGGCGTGATGACCCTGCAGATCATAGTTCTCATTAAAGTGATCATGACCGTTAAACTGTACGTGATAGCCAGGAGCCACCTGGTCAGAGAGGCGCCGTGCGCCGAGAGGGACAGCAAGAGGGAGTCCCTGCGCATCATCGTGTTCGTGGTCATCTGCTTCCTGGCTCTTTGGTGCCCTTCTTTCGTCAACATAATCGTCCGGCAGCTCACCAGGACGGGCCTGAGGTTCAGGAACGAGGCCACGAACCTGTTCGCCATCCTGGCCCGCCTGAACGCGCTGGTCACTCCGGCTGTGTACATCTGGGGCAGCCCGGCGCTGCGCGGGGCCGTGTGGAGGGCGGTGTGGCGCAGGGTGTGCGGCTGCCGCAGGCCCAGGTAGACTGACCATTCCATCTGTCCTGTGATGGGATTCGTTCTTCGAATTCAATTCTTCGTTTGAATGTATTTCTGACGTCTCAACACAATGTTTGTCTATGTATCACCTGCACCATACAATTTTATTTTTTTATATTTTATTTTACAGAATTGGCCTTGAAGTTGATCGGATGACCAAGCCACCAGCATCGACCTCAACAAGTGCATCATAAAATAACGAACTAAGTGGTTTTCACGTTTGTATCAGAACATATTCTCGATCTATGTGTTTTCACAGGCTGTAATGGCAGGGTTGACGTTTTTTCTTCTGTTTTTTAGGTTAAAAGGGTCCTAAATCTTAAAGGGATGTCTTATATTTCATGGAAAGCACACACTGCCTCTTCACGTTTTTAACCTTTTGGTGTTTGACACTTTAGTTTATCTTAAGTTGTGAACTTTGATATTTGAGTCTTTTTCCAGTGAAAAGTTTTCAAACTCAACGAAGCTTTGATGGTTGTTACTCTGTTACTTCTTTCTTAAAATGAGTCTTTTCCATGTTTTTACATTTTTGGCAAAATATGGATTAAATACATGTTTTTACAGATTTATTTTGGGGGGAGTTCGAAGCCAATTTTGCTCATTCTAATAAATCCTTCAATATTTTTTGAAAACTCTCATATCTGTATCCAAAGTAGCATTTTTAGATTTTAGTAGCATGTAGATTTAGACATTTAAAAAGGCATTTCCATGCACAAAAAATGTCCTACAATGGAATCAGCACTCTCCCTCTGTCCTGCATTGAGGGAACATAATTACATGATGTTTAAAGTCTCTTCTGATGATAATTATGGTTTCTATTTGTTATTATTGGTCTGACTGGCCCTGATCCTGTGTTTATTGGTTCCATCTGAATTCCAGAAAGTTTCCCTTCCTGTTCCTAACAGATTCAGCACCATGGACAGCAGCCGGTTCGGCCCTGACTGTTGAGACAGAGTTCTGTTATTCTGTTATCACAACTAATCCTTGACTTTAAAACACAAATCTTCCTCTACTGTTTCCTTTATGTTGTTTTTCTTATTTCAAACGAGTCGTGAAACAATCTAATTCACGACTGTGTTAACTTTGCCACACAGACGGAGGGGGAGTTATTGTTTTGGGCCTACTGGGCCTACTGATTTGAATGAAATAAATTAAAACCATTCAATATTTGAAATAATAATTTCCACGTTTACGTTCATTTCTTATTCCATTTTCGCTTGAGTAAAGATGATTCGATTCTATCTGTGTTTGACCATTTTCTCCTTTTGCATGACTGCATTTGTGTCTGATGGACTGCACTAAACCTGCCAGGTGTCTTATCACAAGCTCTACGGCCTAAATGAAAATCAGTAGGCCAGTAGTGCTGAAACTACGTCCATGTATTAAAAAAAAAAACGAAAAAAAAAACGCGTAGAAGGATTCATTTTTATCACTGAAACAAAACGAACTTGGCTGGCAGATTTAAAATTCGGGCTTCATTATTAAAATGGACCGTCTGACATTATTTGTGTGTTCAAAAGTCGTGCTCATCGTAGGATATTCATGGTCCCTAAAGCCCAGTTATTTGTTTTTGTTTTCTTTTTTAAAAAGGTTTCTGTCTCGATTTCTGTCGAATTCGTCTTTCATTTTGATCTCGGGTAATCGGGAGCAAGTTTTTTTTATCTGGCTCTGGACACACAATTGGTCTACCAACTAAATTTCAAACACAATTTACAAACGCAATTTATTGTAAATCCAAGTGTAATTGTTAAACATTACGTGCATCTTGTTTGCAGGTTTTGATCTTTTCTGGACAGCTTGATGGCCTCATGAGACAACAGAGAGGAAAACGACGCCGCCAATCATTTCCACCTTTGTTGGGGTGAAATAAAAGCAGAAACACGGAGCTGTTCGAGGTCCTGATTCTGCCATCGAAAGGCCCAGTGGCTTTAAGTTTTCCCATCTCGTAAAAGATTTAGGACACACTCCTTAAAATGTAATCAAATATTCATTAATAAAATATATCAATGAAATATTTAACAGCGTTATCGTGAATCAGTGGGCCCGCATTTAGTTTTACTGAGTTAATCTTACTCACATTTTGAGCCTGAGACAATAAGCTGAAACTGAGGTGAGAAAGCACCGAGGGCACTGACCCAAAACATCTTCTGTTGTATCCTCCTTAAAAGATTAAACTTCTCTGAAGATACATATGATCAAAAACTACATTCCTACAGGTAGTCAAACATAAGCTCTGGGTAGTCCTTCCAGGAACGAAGTTAATTCATGTCTGAAATTTCGTTTAAAAAAAAGGGACAGTAACATAAGTTCTTTGTTTGTTTGAGCCACTTAACAGTTGTTTATAAGTTATGACAGTTCCCATGTGACACAGAGACACCCTTTTCCTGTGATACCATGGGATACTTTTTGTATTATTTGGATCAGTTTGCATGTATTTTAGTTTTAGTTTGAGACCATTTTATTGTATAAATGCTGTCAGTTTGGACACATTCCAACATGAAATTCCAAAACTACTTAATGGATGACCTCTTTCTCTCACTATATTTACCCAGATTATTTTAAACCTGAGTATTATATGTCTTGATTCTGAATAGAGGCGTATAAAACACTGAGTAAAAACTAAATGTGATATACCTTAACGGGACATCCAATGACATGTGTGCAAACCAGATACCAGTAAGACCAGTAGGCAGCTCTGCCTCCCATCAGGAGCCCCAGTGGTCCTTATAAATAAGGAGCTGCGCCCTGCAGCCAGTAACGATGCTCCCCTCCAACGGGACGGACTCCGCCGGAGGAGTGCCCCTCTCTGTCACCTTCACCGGGCCCGAAGACTACTTCATCTTCATCTTCCAGATTCTATTTGCCACCACCACGGTCCTGGTGGCGGGGACGGTGGTCGTTGGCATCTCGGCCACCAAGGCTTTGCGCGTCCAGAACCGCTTCATCTTCATGCTGAACACGAGCATCTGCGACACCCTGGTGGGGTTCTCCGTCTACTACCTGGGTCTGTTCGACGTCCAGGAGGGCTACCCGTCCAGGAACGGGACGCACAACGTGCTCTCCTCCCTCCTGGGCGTCAACATCCTGACCTTTCTGTTCGCGCAGTTCGACCGGTACTTCGCGGTGTGCCACCCGTTCGTCTACGGCCGTTTCGCCACGCGTCAGCTAATCGTGTGCGTAAATATCTACTGCTGGGTGTACAACGCCGCCCACCTGCTGGCCAGGAACCTGCTGCCGGCCTCCAAATCCCTGCAGCTGTTCGTCATCAGCATCATCCTCTTCCAGCTCATCGTGCTGACCAAGGTGGTCATGACCATCAAGCTGTACGTCATCGCCAGGTACCAGCTGGACAGGGACCCCCCGGGCGCGGAGAGGGACAGCAAGAGGGAGTCCCTCCGCATCGTCATCTTCGTGGTCATCAGCTTCCTGGCGCTGTGGTGCCCCTCCTTCGTGAACATCATCGTCCGGTTCGTGTCCGGAGGGGGGCTGGCCTTCAGGAACGAGGCCACCAACCTGTTCGCCATCCTGGCCCGCTTCAACGCCGTGTGCACCCCGTCCGTGTACATCTGGGGCAGTCCGGCCCTGAGGGAGGCCACGGTGAAGACGGTGTGGGGCCGGGTGTGCTGGAGGTGCAAGAGGAGGTGAGTGGGCTATGGGGGGAGAGGGGGGGGAAAGAGAGGGAATTCTGAACTTGTCCCCCTTTTTCCACTGCAGAGTCAGCTCCTGCCCGAAGGCCAACCCCACCAAGGGGCTCTGACCAGGTGATGGACACAGTTGTGGCTGATTTAGTGGCAGCTGGTCACAGTGGTGTGCTGCTCCTGTCCGAATCCAGAGTCTACGACTGGTCACTGTCAGCGACAAACTATAGAACCTCTGAATGTTTGCGGTGTCTTTGTGACTATTTTCCAGTTTAGAAATGACCTAAAGAACCTACATGGCAGTGGAAATGAAAAAAAAAAAACTTCTGTTGATTTAAAAAAACACTCTGCCATCACATCTTATTCATTTACAGGCTTTTCTTTATTTGGACACAGCCTGGATGTTTCAGAGAAAACCAGGGACTTCATATAAAGTGATTTTTCCAGCCAGCGGCCTCATTCGAAAAACCTTTAACTGCTCACCAACCCTTTAAAGAAATAAAAAAGATTGTGTAGAATGAAGTGGATTACCCACAGTAAACACTGAATACATGCCTTTGATATAAGGCATAACCACATTTTGAAACACAGAAAGGCTCAAATTAACATTCAGACTTCAGTACACCGCAGAAATCTTCATACAGAATCTTTTTCTCTCAATTTCTCTCGTAGAAGATAGTATATGAACTGTTGCTGCAGGGCAGTTCTGCAACTAATTTGTCTGAATGTGTATCCATTTGGGCCTTTTCTCATTTTTTCTAAACACTTACTTTAGTACTTTTTGCTTTTGAGGTCATACTAACGTACATTGTATAATTTATTTGTGGTTATCTGTGGGAGCATTATGTAAGATGTAGTGACATCTACAAGAAAAATATTCAAACTGCAACACGTTAAGTGGAAAATTAAAGTGATTGCTTTTCAAGTAATTTCTATAATAGGACGCAAAAAAGCTTTACTTTCAATTATACCAATCAATATCTTACATTCAATATATAGCTTATGGTTAATTTCCACCTGAACATGCCATCATGTCGTCCTTTTTCCCATAGAACAAATGTCACTCAGGAAAAGAAAAAAGGTTTTCTTTCTACTTATTCAAATCAATTTGTTTTCATTTGACCAGTTTCAAGATCTACCCAGCGAAAACCTTCCATTTTAACTGAGCGCTGAGGATGATGCCTTCCTCATGGCTCGGTTTGATCCATGGTGGTGGTTCGATCTATATTAGGGAATGAGTGCAATAGCAATATTTACACATATTGTTCATATCATTTATTCATCGTTGCCATATTTGAACTTAAACGTGACCAGAAAGATTCACAGAGAAGCCAGTGGTAATTCCCCTATGACAGTCTGCACTAATGAGGAAAAAATGCTGAATGGATGCTGAGGTTGTGAGTCAGCTCTACCAAAGTGTCCATGGGGGCTGTTTGAGAGGAAATGAAGCCAGGGCGGAAACATTGACGGGAATTGAAATGACAGCCCATGGCAGTGCTTGTCTCTGAAGAGATCGTTTGATCATCATCCTTGAGAAAAACAACAAGGGGGAAAAAAAACACAAATATTCTTATTTTGTATTCAAAATAAAAACAAAGATCCAAGTTTCCATTTAATGTTAATTCATGTCTTACCCGTCACGTCCGAGCAAAAATAGAGAAGGTATGCTGGGTTTGTCCGTGCTTCCATCAGTGACCATGTCCAAGTACTGACTGTCGTTGTCCTCTGCATTGTCAGCTATCAGAACCGCTTTCCCCCCAGCCTCTTGAACACGCTGGGCCTTTTGGACAAAAGAGCAACCTCTGGAAAGCACAAAGACAGAGGATCAGGGAGCTGAAACAGAGGCAAAGATTTCAATTTGTCTCTCTGTCTCTTTCTTTTTTTTTTTTGCTGCGTGCAAACTTAAGTTTCCGACCCTCCATCACAGGTTCAAATTTTTGTGGTCCCACTTTATTTGGATTCAACCCCTCCACTTACATCTCTATTTCTTCCACCAAAGACACAAGCTGTTGGTGTCAAGGAGGGACAAGAGGAGGCAGGATTTTAAAAAATAATTTACCAGTCTTGCCTCAAAGTATTATTTGAAACCAAAGATGTGTGTTGCAGCTGCACCATTAAAAAAAAAACCAAATCTGCTGCAGCCTTCCTTCTTATTCCTTCATTTCAGATGAGACTAGAACATGTTTTAAATCTTTTTAAATCCCCTCGATGTTAGTGGCTCAAAGGACATCGTGAGCTAGCCTTGCTTATAGCTCGTTTGGCAAAAATCCTGCTTCCTCCAAGCAAAAAAGACGTCCTTCCTATCGAGTCTGAAACAATTCTGGGCCACGGCTAGTTTATGAGTAAAGACATAAGGAAGTGGAAATCCTACAGATAAGATGAGCCTGCAGGTTAGCGCTTGTGCAGTTGGTAAGACGGATATATGCATACCCTCTTTCCACCAGGATTACTTGTCCATTGATTATTTCTTTGTTGCTCAGGTCTGAGCAGCCGTCCGCAGGATCAGCAGGCACAAGAAAAATCTCATCATAGGATGATTTCTGAGAGAGGGCAGAAGAAAGTAATGGTATAAAGAGTAAACGTGCATGCATAGTGAACGCTTGATAGGCAGTGTGTGGGTGGGGAGTGTGACAATGAGTTGGGTTACTCACAAAATGTCCTCCAAAGTCTTTAGCAGGTGCTGCGCTGAAAATGTAGCTTATCTCCTCTGGGCTGATGACCCGAAAATACAGGAGTTCATTCACGCCGAGACCTGAGCAATTGCAATGGCAAAGTCGCTTTCAGCTATGAGCATATGGCAAAACAATAACAATACAAACTGCACTAGCACAACAAATGCCGCGCTAAAAAATAAATACATGAATAAAACACAACAACACAGTAGATAAGAGGCAAGTGGTAACAGCTATATCTCGGAAAGTCATAGCCTCTGTGCCCAAAAAGTTAATACCGACTATTAGCTTAATTAGCTGTCCACTAGCATTTTGAACCCCCCCCCCCCCACACACACACGGAAACCTTACTCACTGGACAAGCGACCAAAGTGCACGAAAACACTCCAGAGAAATAACATCAAAGCTGTCGTTCCAGCAACCTTTGACATGTTAAATACATTTGAAGAGCTTGTCGATGAGGCTTCAGAACGGTTTTATACTCTTGGGCAGTAGTGAGCCCATTTGTGGCAGCACCTCGGCAGTTGATCGTCAAATAGTTCTTCCTCTTCAGTCTTATTGAGGGCTCGTAAAGAAAACGGGACATTACCGCCCCCAAGTGGCCAAGATGTTAGCTTTATCATTCCCTTCACAAAATATCCTTTGGATTAAGTTAAATGAACCCTAGCCCTTAGTACTGAAATACAATATGATAATATTCAAAGCTTTTTCTGGTCTGTATCTGTTTATTCAAATGATGTCATTTTAAGATATGACTTGGTTTGTTTGTTTTAATGTTTTGTATTTGACTACATAATCATTATTACTTTTTTCATGAAGACGAAAATATCCAAAACCAAAACCTTACCTCTGACAGGTATTTATTTCAGTTTCAGCAGCAGTAATTTGGAAGCAGCAGTAACATTTGGTTTAGGAAGGAAATTTTATGGAAAATACTAATCTGAACATCTCGTGAATGTAAAATTTAATATTTAAGAGTATTTGTTGTCATACAGTCGTAATGTGTACAGCAGCACAACGGCATTGGGGCTGTATGTGTAATGTAGCAGGTATCTGCAACACTTGTAATAGAATGCAATATAACATTCAATATTTCATATTCAAGATTCAATATCACACCAGTAGTATCAGCACTTACATTTGTTCGCATGCCACTTTTCCACTTGACTGTCGTGGACTGTCATTAGCACTTTCTATTTACAAATGCGTATATTAAGATGTCTCCTGATGGGAGGCAGAGCTGCTCACTGGTCTTACTGGCATTTGGTTTACACACATGTTCCCACAATTTTTTACCATAGGCACATGCATATTTGTATTTTTGTGGAACAATTTCTTCTTCATTGCGTTTTACTTCTTCTAGCATCCTTTGGTTTTGTCTTCCCCCCTTTTCTTCTCGTATTTGTGGACTGAGATTTCATCCTGGAAGAGTGTCTTTTTCTTTTCCTTTCACGTGGGTTCATTTTCCTGTTTTCCACCTGTAATGAATTAATAACAGATTGAAATATCAAGAAATATACATCTCTCTCTCTGTCTCTCTCTCTCTCTGTCTCTGTATGTCTGTCTCTCTCTCTCTCTCTCTCTCTTGATATATATAAACATATATATATCAGTAAAAGTTTCTGAAATAACATTATGTAAAACCATGTTGATAAAGATCAAGATTGTCCCATGAAAAAATCCTTATAACCAATTATTTGACTCTTCCCATGCAAAGTTTTAGGATATTAATGTAGTTGCATTTCAATGAATCAGTTACTGTACAGGCTTTAAGACAAGCAGACTACGCTGTATAATGAAAAGAGAACTGCTCGCACCACTACCCTACTTTTTTTCTATGCAACCATGAACAAAACTTTGGTTTAGCATGCCACAGAGGATTATGTTAATGTATGAAAACAAAAACCGAAACAATTTTTTTCAAAGGAGAAAAATACAGTTCCATTTTGTTCCCCTGCTTTAAATATTCCATATTACTGTAAATTTTTAATTTTGATTCAGAATTACATTTGGGATCATATGTAAAATCATTGTTTTAAAAACGTATTTATCTTGTGAACTCATTATTGTTTTTCTATTAAATTAATAATATAAACCGTCTTGATTTAAAAAAAAGCAGTAATAATCCCAACACCTTCTGCAGTATATGAACACACAATATTATCCTTTGATTTCATTTCTGTAGAAGGATGGTTTTTCTTGAAGTTCTGAATTTATAAAATATTTCTTTCCTATTTTCTAAAGGCTATTTACTAACACCAGACATATGGAACTAACACCCAGAAAGCATTTAGTTGAGGCTTCACACCTCCTAGTTTACAACACAAGTGTAGCACATAAATGAAGAAGTAACATTTACAACAAAAGAAGCACAACGCTCTTTTAATAGCCTTTTTTTTTCTTTTTCTTTTGCATTAAACAACGACATACAGATAAACACCAACAGACATATATATGCACAAACTGTGACAACAGAGATCATGCGAGATAATCACATTTAAAGTCAAAGTGCATCAGACTCTTTTAGTTTCGAAACCAGTTTGACCTATGGTTCATGTGAAACTGTAGATTCCCATACATGACTGGCTTCCACTAGAGAAGAACTTCTCTAGTTACATGTTTTTTCGTAACCTCTAGTAGCCCTCATACAGACTGCTGATGCTTACTGAACCACACAGAGAAACAAAAGTGCTTCTCAAGCCAGATCCCTTTTTTCTGTAACAAATTCAGCTTATTTTTTTATGTAAGATTTACACTTCCTAATAAACAAATAAATAAATAAATAAATAACTAAATGAATAATTAAATAAATAAATAAATTAGTAGCTTAGGATTTCATGTAAAGTGTAAACAAATAACAAAGTGTGTTCTAATCCCTCCAAAGCAATGTAAATTTGTAATCAATGTAAAACAAAAGTCAGATTGTCACCGGAATGTAAATGTAAAACATGAAGACGGTGACATAAAAAAGACACAGAGACACAGGACACTGCAGACATGTGAGAACGTGGAAAGCCAAAGCTACCAGCTGAATAAAGTCAGTGGGTTACATTTTTCCAGGGACTCCACTGACTCCAGGGCGAAGGCACCAGCGGGTCTCTGGACCGGACCCTCATTCTGCTGACCCCCCTGGGGATGACGGCGGATAAAGATCGTCCTCTCTGCAAGCAGGCGGACGACACAATCAGAAAAACACAAACACGGAATCCCAGACGACGGCTGTGGTATCTCAGTGGAGCTGTGCGTACCTTGCCGTCGTCCTGAGACTCGTATTCGATCTCATGCTCCAGACTGAAGAAGCTGTGGGGAGTTGACCAGCTGGACGGGGGCTCGATGGTCACCTTCAGCTCCCCCCTCATCGCCTTATATCCCACAATCTGGGGACTGTCAGGTTGAACTGTACAGGTGAGAAACAACCATCAAACAAGATGTCAGTGAGGAATTACCGAAAGGCTTTCATAACTAGGCCAAAGAAATAAGCAAAGTCACCAAAACACAGGTGGACAGTGGCATTACTGCAACACTTACCTTATTTATTTATTCTTTTCTTAACTTTTATTGTTGGATTTTTTATTTCAAATTGACATTTGTACTGACTACTGTGTTCAAGGTAGCCTCATGCTGGCATTTAGTTCAGTGCTTTGAAGAAAACACGCAGAATTGTCTCCATATTGACACTCTTCTACTGAACGCTTTTAATGTCGCCCAGTTTTGTTGATCTTACCGATGTCTCTGAGGTAAAATGTTGTTGTTTTCCGGTGCATGTAGGGGTCAGAGATAACCTCGGCAGTGAGTTCGAGCATGGTGCTTTCCTCCTCGTAGGGCGAGAGGGAGTGTGACAGCACAAAGTGGAATTCCCCGTCGGGGGTCTGGTCACTGCTCGTTTCCCACTTACAAGAGCTGTGACCTTCCGTGCTAAACGGGCGAGACGAGAAGAAAAACACGATTGATACATGGTCTCGTCGTGCTAATTGTGTGAGAGCGTTTTATTTCATTACCAGTCGTGGCCCAGACCGAGGCGCACCAATTTGTTTTTAGTGCCACTCCAAGTGCAGGTGAAGTTGCAGTCGTAGGACTTTGCACGACAGCTAAGATCTGTGATGACAAGAAAAAAAGATAATGAAACATGTCTGGTTTGAAAACAATAGAGAAATGAGTATTGTTATACATGAGGCATTCGTGCCGGGAGCGTGCCACAGTATGTGTCTGTTTCTAACCATCAGGGAGCCTTTATAGAGAGAAAAATGTGTCACCGGACAGCCGTTTGAAGGCCTAACATCTGATTTTGTTCCCTTTTGCCTGGACTTGCCTGGACAGAGTGATCTACAGTATTTGAGTGATAACAGCCATTTACTGTATAAAGGCGCAGATTGAAGAGGGATATCTCACCTAACTCCTCTTGCTCCTCCTCGTTATCCTGTAGCAGCAGATAGGTCGATGACAGCTTTTGGTCGCCCTTCCAGCAGCTGTATTCCCCCGATGCGAACACGTCCACTTCCAACAGGGTCAGATCTTGACCGTCCCGCCGAACGTAGTCTTCATCTTCCACATCTTTCCCGAGAAACTTCCAGGTGACGGGCCCGTCTGTCTTTGCATTGCAGGTCAATGTGATGGATTTGTCATTATTTATCTCTGCCACCAGAACTGCAGATAGAAAAAACAGTTAGAGCACCGCAGCACACGCAGGAAAACACCCCTATCACCACGTCAAGCGAAGGCTTACCATTTTTGGGAAATTGTCTGAGTCCGTGAACCCCTGCGAGGCTGGTCATCAACAGCACAGACACCAACGCCAACACGGTCATCTGTTGGATTTTGTGACGGGAGGAGACTTGGGTGATTAATTAATATAAAAAAAACACAGATTCACAATTGATTCATTTTTTAGTAACAACATGAAATGTTGGTCTGAGAAGCTCAGGCCGTTCCAACTTTTGTCTTGAAAAAAAAGAAAAGTGTGAATATTACAGAATAAGAAAAACAGCTAGATATGTATAGTAAAATGTTCTTAAACAATGAATTAACACAAAAACAGAAAAGAATATGTGTACTGTATATATATATAAAGATAAGCTATAATAATTAAGAACTTCCCTGCTCAGACAACCAGATGCGATTTCTTACCATCAGTTTGAAGTTGTACACCGATGGGATTCCAAAAAGACAAGTTCAGAGGTCCAGTCGAGGAATACCAGCAATGTATGCTCCGGCTACCCTCTGGGGTCACTTTTATACGGTTGCAAATATCATACATCATCGTCATCATCATCACTCTTTTATAACACCTCTCAGGGTGAGAAAGAAACTGACAAATATAGTAAGCTGACACAAGTCCACTGAGAGACGGGGTTCTCTGCATTTCCTCTATTCTGCTTTGCATTTCAAATTTTTGTAAACAGGCAAACTGTGAATTTCATTCGAGCAACAGAGAGATGGAGATAAGAGGTGTGGGTGTGTGTTGGGGTGGGGGGTTGCCATCGGCCTCCAAAGCAAAACACCATGACACAGCATCCCGCAGACTGGACCATACGGTCACGCACAAAAACATCCATCCATCCATCCATCCATCCATCCATCCATCCATCCATCCAT